TGTCAGCTGGCACAGGAGAACCCAGGTCTGCTCCAGCCAGAGCCCCCACTGCCCTGGCTCCCAGCCCCCCTCCCCCCGGAGCTGGCCACAGGACCCCTGCCCCCCGCTGCTGCTGACAGCTGCACTTCCCTTCTGCGGCTCAGCTTGGCCCCGCTCGGCGCCTACCTGCTCAGACACGGCCACCGGAGCTGTTCTGCTGCGCGGCTGAGAAGGGTGCTGGAGCCCTCCGGCCCCTCCCTGCAGGCCAGGCCAGGCGGCCCTTGGGTTTGCGTTGTTCCGGTCTTGCAGCCGAAGGCTTTCGTAACCCTGCTGCTCGCCCAGACTTGCTGCCTCTGACAGGAGCTCGCCCGGCTGCTCCGGCATCGGCACCCCAGGCGGAGGCGGCAGGGGCCTCCCCACTTGGGGAGAGCGGGGTCTAGTGTTCAGAGCGGGGCATGGCGGAAAACTGGGACTTGTGGTTCCCATCCTAAATCTGCCACAATCTCTGACCCAGGGCCTTCTGCTCACGCCATGCCTCAGTTTCCCCACCCCTGGCGTGCCCTGCTCAGGTGATGCGCACTGAGAGCTAAGGGCCCAACCTGCCAACCTGCAACCTCCAGCTTGGGGCCTGATCCTGCTGCCCAGCGGCCAGTGGGACGAGTCCCACAAGGGGAAGGAGACTCAGGCTGGATTCAGTGTAAGTGCAGAGGGGCTCCAGGGCCTGTCTACACTACCCCGCTAGTGCGCACTAGGGGGTAACGTAGGCAACCGCACTTGCAAATGAAGCCCAGGATTTGAATTTCCCAGGCTTCATTTGCATAAACTGGGCGCCGCCATTTTTAAATCCCTGCTCCTCGTGGAATGAGGAGTAACGGTAGTTCGGATAGGAAGCCCAGTCCGAACTACCTAGTGTAGCCGCGCGGCACGGGGTTCAAACGAGCAGGGATTTAAAAATGGCGGTGCCCAGTTTATGCAAATGAAGCCTGGGAAATTCAAATCCCGGGCTTCATTTGCAAGTGCGGTATGCCTACATTACCCCCTAGTGCGCACTAGCCGGGTAATGTAGACAGACCCCCAGAGAACACAAGGGCGGCGTCCGGGAATAACCATTGCAACCATTTCTCTGTAGCGCCGGCCATCAGCCGAGCCCCGCCCGCCC